TGATGTAGGGCGGCGCTGCAGTGGACGTGGATGAGTCTCCCCACCTCAACTAGGGTAAATCCGAATGCGTGGAGTGTAAGTGATAAGGCAACGTGCACTATACGTTTACTTGTATCATATATGAGGAGGCCAGACTCGGAGCGTCAGAAAGAGACTGTCCGCGAAACAACACCCAAACCTTGCCAGAAAAAAGAAAGACTCAAGAGACAACCAGAGGACAGACCTGGTGAAAGCAGTCTTCTCAGAGACGGTCAGGCCATCCCACCAGCCATCAAGGAAGGAGACCTCCGCGTAGATGAAGCGAGCCTGTTTGTTCTTATCCAAAAAGTCCAGCGTGGAGTCAAGGTAGGGCTTGGTCTTTTCGCGCAGGTACTCCTTGAAGGTCCTTACCCAGCCTATCGAAAAGCGGGGTGGGCTTAAGTTATTGGGTCTGCGTGAGGAGTTCCCACTTACACTAAATTAAACGTTTGCTTCTTTGGGATATGCTTGATGCAACAACAGTGGAAATCTCTTTTCTTTAGTTTCGTCGGCCGAAACCGGCCAACCGTTTGAACGGGCAGAACAACGTTAGGCGCGTGCCGCCCGTACGAAGTAAGCTAAATATCAGTGACCTGCATGTTAATTACCTTATAGCGAGGCAGACTGACTAGGTTAAGGTAATGGTTAATTGCCGCAGCTTCCATCCTTTTGCTGTCGTGTTAAAACGCCGATCAGGTGTTTGTGTTATGGACCCAGGAAGTGTGGTGGTACGCTTAGGCGTGGATTTTGCCGACCTTGCCTTCGGTCTTCTCCACTCTGTCATGACAGCGGGCGGACATGAAGGTGCGGTAGATGCAGCGCAGGCCTACAGTCACTTAAAACTAACTCATGCGCAAGTCACTGCGTTTGCTTTCAGCCTGCTAAAGCACGAGTTGGACATCGTCGAACTCTCAGCAAGGCAGACTTGCGCTGCCTCTACCGCACTCTCTTTTCGCCGCATTTGAGCAGAGAAATGTAGCCACAACGCATCGAGGTGGGCGCGGGAGTGCGGCGGCTGACACAACCCGTCTACGCGTGCTACATGTGACCTGTAAAGGCGGCTTGGATCTGACACAGGTGTAATAATGTCACAACGGGAAATAGTATTAAAGAGTCATTGCAGCTGAACTTTCATT